TTTTCCAACGTTAATGATTCTATGATTCTCTTGGGCATAACACTCATACCTCCCCTGGATAGCTTCTGTATCTGATGTTGAAAGTCTCCTTTTGCCTCGTGCCATAGATATCCGCGCTAGATGCCCAGACTGGGTTTCTCAGTCTGCTGTATGTCTAATTTAAAGCTCAAGTCTAAGGGTTAGTCTGACCTTAGTCTTAGGAATTTTATTAGCCAGACGCATGCTCGATTTTTAACCCTCTTTATAAGTGAAGCTTGGTACATGAGAAGGAAAAAACATGGAAGGAAAAATAATCAAAGTGGAATAGAAAATAATAGCAGTTTGTGATAGATATTGATTACACTGAAGTGCTTCTGAGAAAGATTCTTTGTCGTAGCAGGAGAAGGATTGGTGTTAGTCTGGGGCAGAGTTCTTGAATCTTTGCATGTGAGTGCTATTTCATCTAAACCAGTTTGAATCAGTAAGGTGGTGAAATCAGACTATCAGAAGAGCATTCAGTTTTGAATGAAGACATTGCTTGATGGCTAAATGAGGGGTGAGCCATCTTCAGTAAAGTAAATAAAGGTGGAACTTGCAACATTAAATCTATTTATATGTTGTCTCATTCTGCTGTGTTGCCTGAAAGAGTCCTTCATCCTACCCCTGAAATGTTAAGTAAATAGTATTTTGACATATTACCATATATCTGGTAACTGAAATTACTGTAATATTCATCATGAGCTAGACCTCCACCACTTGTATGAATATAGACTAAAACCAGTTTCTCTGAGAGAGTTTACATTCTGATTCTTAATGTTTTTAACCAAGTATAATGTGCTATATAAAATATAAAACATGAATAGAAATGATGGAAATACATGAACAAAAGTGCATGTAGTAAGTTAATTAGTATTTTTTCCACTTATAGCTGCTCATTCTCACCATAACTTAAACTTTTTAATACCAAAGACTGCCTAGGCAGGAGAAATTGTGTAAGGGTCCGTAGTAAGAAATGTTGCCTTAGTGCCTTGAGATAGTACTTGAAAATGTTGAGCATTGTGTCATTTATAATTTATTTAGAAATAAACATTTTGATAGCTTTGCCTTACTTTCAAAATAAGAATAGGTTTATTTCCTCTTACCGAAATCCAGTCTTTGGTAATGTTTATATGTTTGCTTTTGTGGGCCCCTTAATGCATACTGATATAGTTCATTGGTTTTTTTCAAACCAATATTATTCAAAAGATGTTATTAGAAATAAGTTTCTGTTAATGTATTTTCAGCAACTGAGGAACTTGATACAGAAAATGAGTTTTTGTTACCTCCTGTTTTTGGGGAAGAATACGAGGAACAGCCAAGGCCTCGGTCCAAAAAGAAGGTAATTTTGTCATGCTATTAAAAAAATCAAAAAAGCATAAAATTTAAGTGGGCAAAAATATGCCAGGTTTGGGTTTGGTTTTTTTTTCAGTTCTCATGCTGCTCTAAAACGTGTTACTGTCTGTTCATACCTAATATCCTATCTTTATGATGTAAATTGATATATTTCAAATAATAAAATTGTTTCGGTCCTATGTCTGTTGCAGTTAGCTGTTGGATTTAATAGGAGTGTGATTTCTAAATTCTGATCCCATTTTTGTTTCACATTGGTAGAACTGTTGATGTAACGTGCTAGTGTGTATATACTTACTGTACTCTTAGTAATGCTTTTCTACCTTCAACTTCGAACAAAGCTGTCTTGGTTTAATATGATAGTAAAATGGAAGAATGTTGGCATTACCATGGCTTATAATGGGAGCTATAGCATCTCCTGTATAAAATAGTTAAAAAAAAAAAAGACATTTTTATTCGCTTGTAATTTTCCCAGATACTATTTTCAGTCAAAAATCTTAGTTTAGACATTCCAAATAAATTAGCCATATACTTTTATTTAGAAGGAAACTAACAGGAAATAGAGTTTCTGGTACCTGGCACAAAGCTGAAATGGTTTTGTTGCAATAACTGCAGTAGATGCTGCAGCTTTAAAAAAAAGCAGCCAACTTCTAATAAAACTTTCTAAGAATAAATGTGTCTTTCTAGTTTTGAATTTGGAGTCTAAACTGTTGGTATTATCCGCTGGACATTATCTACATGCTGGACATGCTTTAATTTGAGACCAATGCTGGCTTTTCCATTGATGGGTTCAGTTGAGCCTAAAAGTTGACCTTCTGACATAAATTTGTAGCATCTTTAGCTTCCTTTCATTAACACAATGAAATCCTATGAATACACTGAATTATTTGGTGCATCGTGTGTTTGTTTCTTAATACAATATAACCAATACAGCAACTCCATTATAAAAAATTATTTTGTCAGTGTTAGGAACCAGTTTGAAAGGCCAATTAGAAATGTCTGTCAGCTTAAGTAAATACTGTTCTTAGAAGTATGTTCAGCACAGAAACTAGCTACTGAATGAAGCCTGTGTTTCTTCACACTGAACATTCAGTTTGTAATTTGGCCTGCAGCTTGCTTATTCTGCCCAGCGGCTGTGTTATTGCTGTCAGCGGCTGTTGGCGGCGTTAACCACTGTGTTTCAATGGCAGGGGGTGAAGAGGAAAGCGGTGTCAGAATACCAGTCTCATGATGACAGCTCTGAAAACTCAGAGTGTAGTTTTCCATTCAAATACGCGTATGGTGTAAATGCATGGAAGCACTGGGTAAAGTCTCGGCATTTAGATGAAGAGCTTCCAGAATTAGAGGAACTGAAATCAAGTAAGTATTTCCAAAAATCTGGCATCCAGATTCTTATGTGGTAGGGAGAATTGCTGTACTTGTCTGATTTTCAGCTGGAATTTTTAATAGAAGTTTTCACATGTCCCTGATGTTCCCACAATGACTGGGATTATTTTACCACAGAGTTGTTAAACTCTTTTTTTTCCCAGTTTTCCCTCCTTGGTTCAAAATGTTGGGTCTCACACTTCTTATGCAAGCCAGGACAGCACCTTCCTGGCTCTTCTGACTTCCCATGACCGTTTTGATTTTTTGTTTGCATCCTGTTTTTCCTCATATTATAACTTGCCTTGGAGTTCACACCTTTTCTGGACTTCTAAATTGCAAGGGAGGGGCATCCTACTCTTTGTCCTGGAAAGAGATCTTCATCCGAGGTTGGCATTTCCTGGCTGTGGAGCTCTGACCAGGGTGGCCTTCGCTCCTGTGGAGCCTTGCTGCTCTTTCTGCAATGCTGCTCTGTGTGTACATTTGTACTGTGAGGGAAAAGGGGGATTGCTGCTACTCCTGCTGTTCTTCAGCTCCCACATGTGTCTTAGCACCCTTGCATTATGCTGTTGGGTGTTTGGAAACTGCCATTTCCCCTGAAGGTCTCCCTCTACAGCACTGCGTTCACTTCAACATCTTGAGCCACTTCTGTGTCATCCTCAGCTGTGCGTGACAGTACGTTCATCAGTGGGTGATACTGCATTTGGTTAATTAGACTTTATGCTGGTAGCCTTGCTTATTTTAATATAGACCTAACATTTGAACTAATTTAGGCTCATTCATTGGTTAGTGGAGAGGACATCAAGCCAGTTTCCCCCTCTCCAGTCCAAAAATAACCCATCCCACCCCCACCATGTAATAATACTGTTGTATAATGTAGCATTTTTTCTTTATTTTACAGCAAAGTCTGTGAAATTAAAAGAAGATCTATTATCACATACTTCAGCTGAGTTAAACTATGGGTTGACACATTTTGTCAATGAAATTCGAAGGCCAAATGGAGAGAACTATGCACCTGACAGCATCTATTATCTGTGTCTTGGGATTCAGGAGGTTAGTAGAGGCTGTAGAGATGGGAAGCAGAGCTGCTGATTTGACTCTAACCCATTTGAGTGGAAGAATGGAGATAATATGGATGTATTGGCTAGGAGCTATTCTTAATATAATGGCTATGATCTGGAACACAGAGAGGCTGCTGTGTAAATCACATCATAGAAAGCTGTCTGTATAGAAAATGAGTTTGCAGACCCATCCTGAAAACTCAAATGTGAACTGCTATATTGTAATAACTTTAAGCTTCTTGCTGGGTTAAAGCAAGGAATTTTCAGTCTAAAATGACATAATTTTTCCAAATGCTATGCTAAAGATGGCTTAATGTAAAAGCAGAATGAAACAAGGAATAATCTTTAAAGGTTTACTAATTCAGTTAGCGTAAAGTGGAAACAAGCTATTTGAAATGTCTTTTGGGAGAGTCTAATTTGCTGAATATTGCAGACTGTGGGCAGTCAGGCTTTTTTGTAGAGTGCAGGAAACTCTGCTGTATTTACTGTCTTACACACACATGTCCCGGCCCCCAAATTGCAATTACATTGTATTTCAAAGCAAAAGGGAGTTTAGATGTATTGTGTGTGAAGGCAATAACATATCACTAGATAATTAGAAAAGCTATTCCACAGCTTGTCCTTTAAGCAGAGGATGTCTTAATTTTGGTACAAAAGGCAAATTATAGATAGAATAAGCTGTGTTCAGAGCTGAGAACACAGAAAATTTCATTCAAGTTAAAAGGCAATAAAAATACATATGATGTGGAAAGCAAGCTGTTCACAGGCTTTGCAATCTTCCTTAAACTTTTTTTGTAGTTAAGGTGGACTTGAATCAAATAACAAATCTTTTAATCAAAATCTTAAAATAAATAGTACTCCACTAATTTTTCTGTCTTGAGAGTATGCAAAATTAAGGAGTTAGATAGTATCTTTCCCTCATGGCTGAAATTTGAGAAGCGAGCATTCATTGTTTGGCATTTTAGTCAATATTGCTACAAAGCATGTTTCAAATTCAGCTAGCTTTCTGCTCTGCACTCTGCTGTCTCTATATCTTTCTGTTGAATTGAAAATACTCATTAAGCTGATAAACAATACATACAGTGAGCTATGTGTTTATAAAATGGAACTCAACTAATATCTTTTCTCTTTTCACCTTTCTCTCTGTGCCTTTGACATTGTCTATCTTGTCTACTGTGAAAGCTAGTTATGTGTAAAACTTTTTTTTTTTTTTAGCTCATCAGAACCAAAGTTTGTGTGGCACAACACAATTATCATGAGCCCTAATACACATACACAACGCTGGAACATTAGAGGAACAACTTGTGGTCATGTTACTGTAATTATTGTTTATACTTAGTGTCCAGTATTTAATTCAGGTGATGTTAACAGCCCCGTTTCATTGGCCTAATTGTGCCACTGCTAGGAAGGTAGGAAGATGTGCCTTGTTCTGAAGAGTTTGCATTTCACAAAGGCAGACAGCAAGTGAGGGACAGAAACATTTAAGCATGTGAGCTGCCAAGGGCTACAGCCAACATCTGTGTCCTAATGGCAAATTTTATGTATATGGGTATGTGTTACCCTTCTGAAGAAACGGGTTTAAACAAGTTAGTGGTACACTAAATGCAATGTAGTTGTCACAATGTGCAACAGAACTCCATTGGCTTCTAGTATTTTCTTAGTCCTTCTTTCCATCTGACAACCCTGACGTGTGTACTCCTGAAAGAGCATAAATTGTCTGCTACTGCATAAAAGATATTGGCTCTGTTTAACTCAGAAGGCGCTCAGAGGAGATTAAATGTTGCCATTTAAGGATAAAGTTGTGCCAAAGATTAGCAATATTTTGCTAACTTAGAGTAAGTTTCTCTTCAAAGGAAAAGAATGTGGAAGCTGTAGGCTAAAAAAAGAGCACTTTCCCACTTCACTAGCATTTCTGCACTCACTGTGGCAATGTATGGGCTCAGCTTGGAGCTTTTTCCTCCTGGGTGTAATATGGTTAGAGCACAGGGGAAGTGCTCAGGAGTCTTCAAGTCTTAAGTTGTTTTTTTGACTTTGTAAAAGAACTGTTTTTCTTAAAGGAAGCACTTGGAAAATCTGTTCCAGCAAACTAGTCCCAGAGTCAAACCAGTACATTTTCTCAGTTCAGGTTAATTTGCAGCTGAAATTGTTCTGCTTCCAGCCAGAAATGGTTCAATAATGGTTTTGGTAACTCTGAAGTACTGGTCCTGAAAAATATCGCACTTAAAAGTAAAAATTGTTGCATGGTCAGGCGGGTATCTAGCAGAAAGGGTTCACTCCCCTGCTGCATCGTGGCCTTCATTCTTTGTCCCAGTACAGATTGGGGATTTTTTTGTTTGGTTGGTTTTTTGCACGTGTAATAATGGGGTTGTTTGGGCAAAATTCAGGCTGATGGAGCTTGGCAGATGTTTGAAGGTGCTGTGGGCAGTGATTCAGCCTGTTCTCCACTGTGGGACTCAGAGGCATGTCGGGTTCCTTCCCGTTCTCTGCGGTTTCGATAGAGCTTATCTCAGGTGGAAAGGGTTTACGCTAATCCTGCCCCCTCTAGAGTTTGTGGAGTAGCAGAGCATGGTGTTATGGTGTGGAAGTGGAGGTTTGCGGATGTGTGTTGGGTATTGTGTAGCAGCGGAGGCTGCAACATGACATCATTCTTCTGTAGACCCTGCAGTGCTAATAGTCCAGGGTGCTTCACAGGTTTCTACCGGGGATGTCAGGGTTTAGCCAAACACTTACTCTGAACCAGGAAACAGAAATATTTTCAGTTGAGTTCTTACGGGCTTGTGTGGGAATTGGTTTTGAACCAGTTTTCAGTTCAATTTCAGTTTCACTGCCAGCGTTCAGTGTGAGTGTTTTAATGCAAACCAGAGAAAAAAGAAAATTCATGGAGGAAAAATATGCCAGGGAACAGAGGGGCAAACCCCATGAAGCCTGTAGTAAGCTCTATTGTCTAGTTTAGAATTGCTTTACAAAATCGAAACTGATATATGTAGAAACAAGCACATTTGGGGGAATATTGTGCTTTGAAGAATTAATTAAACATATCGTATAAAATAGTTATCTAAATGAAGATGTTGTGTTGGAAGCTTCTAGGAAGTTTATTCATTCATTTTTCCTTATTATAAAACTAAGTGCAAAGATAAGGATGTCAAGATATACTGAACTGCCTAGTATAAATGAGTGCTGTGTTTAATGTTATTTCAAGTATGTGTACAGAAATAGATGCCATTTCCAGAAGTGAGTACATTTTTTTGTGTCTGTCACTTTTATTGTATTCACTAACAACAAGCTTGTTCACGCAAAGATAACACTGAAGTGGAAAATTTAAGAAGCCGATCCTCCGTTTCTTAGAAATGTCTCCAGAGAGTATAATGTCAAATACTAGTATAGCCCTCAGCCATTAATTCTTGGTAAAGGTTCAAAAGAGTTTCTGTCTGTAAGGTCAAGGGGATTAAGATAATTAGATTGCAGAATAGGCAGGTGCCTTGCACCATCCTATCATTTTTCTTGCACTGCTGCATATCATTACCACAAATATATGGGGTTTTTTTCACTCCCACTTCTGTGTTGAAGATGCTTCTGTCAGTGTCCAGAGTTCACATTTAAAATGGCACGTTGTTGCTAAATTTTTTTTTTCTTTGAAGACCCAGGTAGAGGAAAAGATAAATTAGTTGTTTTGTTTTTTTTTTTAAAATGACTTCCCATTCACTGACAAAATGTTGCACATAAGAAATTCTAGAGAAAAATGTTAGAGTGTAATTAATCTGTGATTCATATCCAGTTAGAAATTTGCAACATACGTTATATTGGAGGTAACTTTTAACTGCTAAATATTGGAAAAGTGTCATTGCTTTATTTGTAGATATATATAGATTGTTTTTTTTTAAAAGTGCAAGCATTGTGCTGAAAAAGAACCCTGTAGCACAGGATTTGTTCCAATCTGGAATTGTAAATATTGTCTCTCTCGCTCTCTTTTCTGTAGTATTTATACGGAAGTAATCGAAACGACAACATATTTATTGATCCAATCTACCAGACGTTTGAACAGGAATTAAATAAAATCCTTAGAAGTTGGCAACCAAGCATACTTCCAGATGGTAATTTTCTTTTTGGTCATGTATGTTTTTCGTCTCTTAATAATAGTTCTGTATTCTTAAGCATGTAGATATGTACAAACATTTTATGCATTGCAATAGTAATTGATTAAAAATGATAAAGATCTCATCTAAGAGTTCAATTAAGACTGTACCTGTTCTTATTGTCTTGTTTCTTGGTAATCCATGCTACAAGAGTTGATTTTGCCACTGCCTGTTAATCTTAAATTGACTATCCATTTTTAGGAGAGAAAGTTAGAATAAGCAGCCGCTCTTCGACCTGTACTTTTTACGTGAGCTGAATTTATTTTTTGCCCATTTTTTTTCCCAGATGGGAAGCAGGCAGACAGGCACTGGGCTATGTGTGGGTAGGGCTAACGAGCTACGTATTTTAGTCTTTCTCAGCTGGATTGGGAGGACTCTGCTATGGGCCTTCTGCTCAGGAGGATCGTCAGTTCATGGAGAAAACATGAATTTTCCCCAGCAGATTGATGTTGGTGCTGAACTGCAGAACCCACTGTTCTTCCATCTTTCTTGCAATCCTGTCTTGAGTGAGGGCTTGTCCTTACCAGCCCCTTTCCTCTCTCTTCTTGATACTGGCTTTTCTCTGTATAGCTCTGGAGAGCCTCTGTATAGGGCCCTCCCTATACTCTGATATGGTCCAGGAGTGCTTTCCAAGTGAGGTATCCATTAGCAATTAGAAAGAAGAAGGTATAGCCATTTGGAGGCCTTGCCTGGGCAGAATAAAATGAACTAAAAAATATGCTTTTTATGAAAGGATTAGGATTAGCCCCTTGAACATTTGTTTTTATGTAGTAACGTGAGGCAGCTGCATGTAAGCAATGCTGTTGTAATTAAACAGAAATGTGTTCTATATGAAATTGCCTATACTAATATTTCCCATTGACTGTCTCTTCCTGAAACAGTGTCTGTGTCTTTAAGATGTGGTTTTGGGTGTGTGGACATATAATTAAATACGATTATTAGAGGCTTCTGTCATGAGCATTTTGTAAATTTTACAGAACTGGATTCTTTTGCACCTGGGCAGTTTATGGGCTAATCCATTGTATTTTCTCTAATATTCTTTTTCTGAAGGATCAATATTCTCTCGAGTTGAAGAAGATTACCTTTGGAGGATTAAACAGCTAGGATCACATTCACCGGTTGCTCTTCTGAATACTCTGTTCTACTTTAACACTAAATATTTTGGCCTGAAAACAGTGGAGCAGCACTTAAGACTTTCTTTTGGCACTGTTTTTAGACAGTGGAAAAAAAATCCTCTAACAATGGAAAGCAAAGCTTGTCTTCGATATCAAGTGTCTTCCTTGTGCAGAGCTGATAGTGAAGGTACTATGGCAGTTCCAAAATAAGTATTGCAGGAGCATCCAACACTGTGCTCCTCTGAGGGACATCTGGGCACCTTGCCTGGAGCCAGAGGTCTGCCTTGGCTCCTGGATCTTTAATCGGAGTGTGTGGTCCGTGAAGACTACAGGGTCTCTGCGTTAAACGATCCCTTTGAGCCCACTGGTCTCTCAATTCTAAATGCTGCAACTTTGTTGTGGCTGTAGGTTGCATTTCCAGTTTGCAGATATGCATAGCTGTGGTGATTGCATTGCAGTGCTTAGTGGGTTGCCCACTCTGGGGTGTTAACTGAAAAATGTAAAGTAACTTCAAGTTATGGCTTAGATGTTGTTGATTTTCTTCTTAAAGATAAAATTACTACTGGAAAAAGGAAACATGAAGATGATGAACCAGTATTTGAACAAATTGAAAACACATCTGATCCAGCTAGATGCCCTGTGAAAATGTTTGAGTGCTATCTATCTAAAAGGTAAGTATGGTACGGGGTAATACAGAAGTGGTCTAGAGTAGACCAGCTACAAAAGGGAAATGTTTTGATGCAACATGAAATACCCTCAGACAAAGGGAATGGATTGAGATCTTCTGAAAAATAGCTAAATGAAAGCATTGAAATCTCCAGTTCTGTATCTGGACAAGACATGCAGAAAGCGTGGGAGCAGCAGAGTACTTCAATGTTAATTGTCAAGGACTCCATCTGGGAATGACAGTATGATTCAGTTTTCTTACTGGGAAACACCCAGTGTCTCTGCAGAGAATTACCAGCAAGGGATCTGCTAGGTTTTACTACTGAGGGTTTCACTTGTGAGGTCCCTGTCTCTTCAGTAAGGATTGGATTGAGACAATGGATTTGCTTGATGTTAAGTTATCAGGAATTTGAAATGTAGATGCTTTTGAGATACCTAGTTCGAAAGCATGTTTAAAATATTTTGTAGTAGAAAAAAATACTACTGACCATAACCCAGCATTTAGAAATAGCTTGTATCCTTCCAATCTGCACAGAAATTAAAAAGAAAAGCTTAGGCAACTCTTACAAAAAAAAAAAAAAAAATTAGCAGCTAAGTGTTGTGGAAGTGTTTGAAAACAGAATTTCATGGGAAATACTTTTCTTTAGTTTGAACAGCCATTCAAGCGACTGATTTTAATGGAGATTTTATGTAACTCTAAGTGAAATATAGGCTAGTGATACCAAAGAAATAAAATCACATTGCATATACAACACAATAAATCAAATGAAGTACGAGACCCAACAATGTGTTAGGAAACAGCATCTTATTCTTAAAAGTGAAGAAAGAGCTTACGCACAATGTAGGCAGAAGAGCAAGTATGTGATGTGATAGAGAGAAACATGTAAAGAGTAACTTGTGGTCTGTTAATGCAAGCACCTCTTTTTCATAAACTCAGTTAATTCTGATTGTTGCAGGGTTTGAGGTTTTTTGCCTTCACACTATCCATTGTCATGGTTTGGAGAGGATATATCATTAACAGTTGAAGCTGGATTTTTGAACTGAGTTATAGAGCCAGTAGTGGGGAGAGAACGAATAATTTCTTTTTCTTTCAACTTCGGGGAAATGAATGCACTTAAACCCATTTGGAGCATCGTTTATGGTGTGGTTTCAAGTCCTGCTGTCCTACAGATATTGGTCCCCGTTGCTGGCTAGACAGCAGACTGCTTCTCCTGGTTCCACTTCTAATAACATATACCTTGCGTCTTTGATGAAATAATTTTAATAAAATATTTAACACTTTAAAAGCTATTGTAAAATTTAAGGTAATGCCAGCTGTTTGAAATATAGTTGGCAATCAGTGGACAGTTGCAGCTGAAATTTCAGGATCCTCTCTTTCGCAGCTATGAGCACTATATTATTGCTTGTTCCTATAAAAATACTGGCTTGTCAAAAAAGTAGGAAGGGGGTTAAAATATTTAAATTATTAGAATATTTTAAACTATTGTATTTTGGCTTCTTATGTGGCTCTTAATCTGATTTATGTGAGAGTAGAACAAGCCAACATTCACCCCAGCAGGTGAAGAGCAATACCTGAAACTTTTATCAGCTAGTTTGGGAAGACGAGCTGGTAAAAATTCTTATTTTTACCAAACAAACATGAAATACAGTTGACCTCTGAAGTCTGCAGTATTTATGAAGGAGGGAGCAGGAGTGAGCACTTGTACATGCAGAATTGAAAATTATTTTCTGAGACTTGCCTAAATGAACAAAATGCTAGAATTTCTTTGAGGGGTCTTCTCTAGTGGCTTAGAGGATTTGTCTGAGCTGGATCAAGCATGTATATGAACTCCAAAGTATAGCAGGTCATGAATTAAAAGATTTTAAGACTTATAGTGACCAACCCTTTAAGTAAAATAGGAGGAGGGAGAATTTTAGCTTGTTGTATTTCTGTGCATCTCTCAGAACTACCACCCTTGAGTTTCAGAGGAACCCCAGGCTCTGTATTCAGAGATAGCTGCATCAGGCAGCGGTGCAAGCAATTACTGATGTCAAAGTTGGGCCTCTTTGCAAATCTGTCGATCAGGGGTTCCTAAATAGATAGAAAGTACTTTCTGGTTTAGCAAGTCCTGGAGCTGCAAATTTTTGAAAGCTGGAAGAGTCTGTGGTCTCCTGAATGCTTGCTCCGTCCAGGCTTTTGGCCACTCTGAGAATGCGGGACTGGCTGGGCTTGGGCCAGACCCGGCACAGCTCCTTCTAGGAACAAGACTGCGTTTCTCGCTGTTAATCTTCTGTTTGTAACTTGCCTAAGTACAGTTAGAGTTTTGTTTACGCAGGATGTCAGAAGTGCTAACGTACTGTTTTGTCCGGTGAGGCTGTTCTTCTTACCCCTCTTGTCTTCCCCCCTTGTAGCCCACAGAATCTGAATCAGAGGACGGACATGTTCTATCTGCAACCAGAGTGCTCTGTCTCCGCAGAGAGTCCCATCTGGTACACTGCCACTTCACTGGACCGCAACACTTTGGAAAATATGCTCGTACGGGTTCTTTTAGTAAAAGATATTTATGATAAAGACAATTATGAACTGGATGAAGACATAGATTAAAACAAACTTCCAAAAACTGTCAAGAAAACAAACAGCATTAGATATAGTCATGCTGCTAGACCTTTACTATGGAAAACATTTCAAGTTTACCCTTTGTTTTATGAGTTTTGTAGCAGTGTGTACCCTCACCTGGGTATTACCATGTAAATAGTCTGTGAGTGAAAGTTTCCATTATTCTGCGTAGTGGTTTTAGGATACATAACAAACACATTTCAGATTCTTTTTTTATTATTTATTTGATTAGGTATGTTTGTAACTTTTTACATTGCAAAATATGAATGAGAATGTGCCATGTGTAATTTTTTTTTTTTTCCCCTTGTAGTAAGAGACATCCATATTGCACAACTCTGCTGTTGGAAGCTCCCTTGAAAGGAGGCTCTTTTAATGGGTTCTTAAACCAGATGGTTGTGTATGGGTAGCACTACTAAAGTTTAGAACTTGCTGTGTCTTTCAGAATTTTTAAATAAATTGTAAACTAATAGGTTTTTTACTTTTTAGTTACTGAAGCCTTATAAGGTTATGTAGAGAGATTCCATCTTATGTACCAAAAATAGACAAAAGAGAATGCTGTCAATATTGGTGTACTGTAATGTGAATCTATTCTGGTGAAAACATTTTTTTTGTTGCCCTTATTAAAACCTTAGTGTCCTTTCCTTATTTGTGACTCTCTCTCAATTGCCCCTACAAATAGAATATATATATATATATGAAAATAAATGAATTTAAGCTTAAAGCATGTGGTCATCAAGACATGTATTTTGTAAAAACCAAAACCCCCTCAAAAAAAACAAAAGGAAAAAAAGAAAGAGAAAAGAAATGTCTGATGACAATGCTATATAATTCTTTTCCATCTTCACTTTTCTGACCATAACTGCTGGTACTTCATATTACTGTAAATGTCCTTTGTAGCGTTAGCAAAAGGGATTTTAATGCTATATTACATAAAGTAATATGGTATGCTAAATTTTTAACTTTTGTTTGTCCTTGCATTGCTGTATTTAAATACAGTCAGTACTTGACTATGGGTGGGAAAATTCTTTTAACTAATGCCTCCATTCAAAAGCCATATGAGACGTGAAGTTGCAGAAAGTTGAAAGATAATTTTTTTGAAGAAGAGTCCTTTTGTTTGTTCTATATCCTTTCATTGTGTTTACTTTGCATAAGGAGTCTGATTTCCAGATACACGTTTAGCTGCTTAAGTTTTGTTACTTGCTCTTGTTTAACTGATGCGAGCAATATGGTGGTTCATGCAATGGTTTTGCTATTGTACTGAAAAAAACGTAGTAGAATATTCTACTATAAAATAGTTATAAGTTTGGCTCTACTAAATGACATAAAGCATCTGTTGAGAGGAATCATCTACTAAAGGGGAAACTTTCTATGTATATATATTACCACCTTAGGATTTATTTCTTGCAAGGGCTGCATGGCGCTTTCATTTTCCTTAGCTTAAAAGAATGCACATAGGGACGCCTCTTTCTATATAGAGAAATAAAGCTTCAGTTGCTTTGTTTTGTTAAGCAAGTTTATTTAAATTTCTGCTATTCTTGTGTGTCTGTGAGTATGTATTAACTTTAGATATATTTCAAAAGTACATGTTTAATTTTTCATTTTTTTCTGGTGGCTCTACCCTTCCTGTGAAATCAAGAAATGCTATGCAGCAACAGTCAATAGATCACTAACAGCTTCAATGCTCTTTTCCCTTTGTGAATGAGTACGTAAGAACTTAGTTCATTAACACTTGTTTTTTTTATGGCAACAGCCATAAAATGTGCCCATGATACATAAAAGTGATAAAATCAGAAATTGTAATGATGGTTTTGTTCTGGCCTCTCCAGTTGAACATCTGACTTGAGCATAAGTTAAATGTTACATATGGGAATCATCATTACTGATTACCTGCCTAAAATGCATCATGTGCTTAACTTGAAATACTTAATTGAAACATGTATTTCATTTTTTTGATAAATAGCAATAAGGATCACTTGTAGCCCCTTCTCTGTAGTGCAGGCTTCAAGTCCTTCAGTAGGAGCTTTAATCACTTCCTGTTTAGGACAGTGTTTAACTACAAACACACTTTTGTAAAACTACAAACTTTTAATGTGAAGCTTAAAGTACCCTAAATCAGGACTAAAGTTAAGTATGTGTGTGTTGAGTGTTTTGTCTTAAACAGAGTTTAAATTCTTGTTCTCAAAATCAGATTACAGCTATTTCCGAAATAATAGGGCATGCTGTACAACAGATGTGTGTTTTCAGTGTCATTAGAAAACAATGAATGCTCCCTGAAGTTTATCAGATATCACATTATTATCCTAAATTCCTCCCACTTTCTACCCGTGATTCACCTACCATATCAGTAAAAATATTCAAGTTAGGTTTTGAAATAGAAATTTTTACACACAGATCCATGTTGGAAATACGAAGATGGTTGTCAAGAAAATAACTTTTATTCCAGAAGATGGAGCTATTCCATCATCAACAGTAATGTTTTTGAAGTGTTTAGTGTGTTTAGATCGAACGTTGTAAGCTGCTGAGATATTGCGGTCAAGAATGCATCATGGCTCAATGTATGCATTTTATTCCTAAATTTGAATGGTGATGCAAAATGCAATAAAAGACCTTAGTTCTGAAAAAATAGAGACATGCAATTTTATAATAACTAGGAGTTCAGGGCAAATACATTTTCTTTTTCTTTGTAGGAACTGTCAGCAGCTGGACTAGAATTAAGTTGGTGTCATTGAGTTTCCTGCAGGTTGCTGTGCAGGAAAACGTATGCTGCCCTGTTCTACACAGAGCTTCCAAGTAATGATGCGTATCAGGATTTTGCCCTCGCTTTCCACATTACGAGGGTGTGAAGTGGCAACCTGGCGGGTCCGGCCTTCCCTGTGAGCTCTGGCACAGCTCACCTGAGAAATGCAGCGTGGGGACTACACTGCTCTGTCCGCGCGGAGCCCTGCAGATGGTGCTGGCAATGCAGTCCAGTCTAGACAAGATTTTCCTAACTTCTCAAATCATGCCAGCGTGTGCTCTGCATCTTCTCAGTTTGAGATCTAGTTCTGAACAATTCACAGGTGAAGTAGTAGCCTCAAGATCCTAAGAAAATTAGATTGCAGCAGTAGGCAAATTGCATACAAAATATAGTGCAGCGTGAGAAAGAGTGAAAAATTCATGCAATTTTCAGAAAAGAAATTTGCTTTGTTAGTCATCTTTTTTTCTATAAATAATTGTGTGCAGTCGTTGAGGAAAATGCAGCTTTTTGTAATTACTGATCTAAGCATAAATTATGACAGTTAATTTTTATTGAACAAAAGGTTGTGGTTGTGGAGTAATTTCAATATGTACAATATTAATTATCTTTAAAATGCCCACAGTGTGACTCTGTAATGCAGCAAAATTTGTTTCCTTAGTATCTAGGACTTTGGCCTGTGAGAGGCTGTGTGAATAGGTAGGAAAACAGGAGAGGTGGCTCATAAACCTTACAGTCCCAAAAGGAGGAGGTCTGTGGGATGGAAGAGAAAAGGCATGAGTGATGGTAAGCACTCACACCCCATTTCCATTTTTGCCAACCTTTTTTATGATATAGAAGTGTTTTTTCTGTTGTACTTTCCCATTTTTGTCTGTTACTGTTAGGAAGGGCAGTTAAATATTTTAATTTCCATTTTTGGAAACATTCACTTTTCAGTTCGTTACACTCCTGTTGTGCATTATTGCATTACATGTAAGACGGAGTGTGATGCAGAGTACCTGGAGTGGGAGCTTTTTGATTCCTCTTGGACTGAGCGTGGGGACTCTGAATGAAACTGAAATTCAAAGTGGTTTACGGCCAAGAAGTTATCAAGATTTGAAAGGGTGTTAGACCATCATATGTGACTCTTCAGGTTATAATGGCAAATGCTAACGATGCTTTGGAAGCACTGAAGGTTGAGTTACCCTTTGTTTAGGGTTAGAGCGAAGCATAGGGTTTGTGTGAGGGCTCTGAACGTGGCCGCAGTGCTGGACACGCTGTCCCCAAGGGCTTGGTTAAGCGTGGCAATTTCTGATTTCTCAAGTCAGAAATAAATCTTTCCTCTAGCAGCTTTTTAATTTGAAATGTTGAAACCTGAAAACCTCAGCGTGTGAGCCGTGGCATGGATGCTTGAAACCAGCATGTAATGGGATATGTGCTTCAAAACTTAGGCTGGTGTTAATGTCTGTAACACTAATTAGCCATCTCTTTGGACACCCACGAGCACAGCAGGCATCTCAGAGACATACAGAGATGATGTGGGGATTAGTGCCTGCTCGTTGTGCTACTCCGGTCGGAGCTGGCAGCCTCTAGTGAGCGGCTGTGCCTCGGCAGGGCCCCAGCTCGCTGTGGGTGCCGGCGGGCAGCACCTCCCCTCTCCTGCCCGCAGGCAGGGCCGACCTGTGCCGCACTCGGGCATTTCTCGTGCTCTTTCCTTTGCTATCAGGTTGCTTCAGAGTTTCTTGCTGTCGGTCTCTGATGGAAAATGTGTGACTGCAACATGAGCCAAGTTCATGATCGGGTGTGAAATAAGCCTTGGGCAGGGAAGGAGCTGAAATGATAATTCCGCCTCTTCCCTATCTCTTAATAAGGCATAATTGTACTTTAACATTCACAAAAGCCTCCCCTCTCACAGGTAAAATACCAGAAGGGATTTGAGTGAAACACTAGCATGTGTTCAGAGCTTCGGGGGCAGGGGGGAAGAGAGAGAGAGATGTGGTGGTGACAAGACAACTGGCATTGGTGGGCAAGGAGAGGGAGCAAACGCACAAGGAGAAGGGACAGAAGAGATTGACTGTATCCATTTTGAACAGTTAACGGAGTTTAGGAGCGCGGGTTTAATTCATACTCTGATGATGCCTTCTGAGCTTCTGTCACCTGTTCCAACTTCCCACATAGCCTGGCTCGGAGGATTTCCCCCAGTGACTGCTGTGTGCTGCCAGTGGACGTGGAAATGAGGTATATATTTAAAAGTGCTTAGTCTGGCTAGTTGTATTTTCAGGATATCAGTATGTTGGTGTTTCCAAATACATATATCTGAGAAATAGTTGTATTTCTTCACCCAAGAACCAGTTGTCTTCATGGAGTAAAGCCACTGATACAGCAGTCACGGCACACTTGTATGTGCATAATTTGAGTAGGGAAGGATGCAGTTAAATCAACTGTATTGTGTCCCACGTACCGCTACTCATGGGGCATCACAGCGCTTCAACTAATTGTTTGATCAAATGTTTTTCTACTCCAGTCCTTTTTTTTTGTTTTCTTTTTTGTGAAATGAAAGGAGAAAATCTCCGAAGATAGCCAAGTCCTTGGAAAAATCTTTCAAGAACACCGTCGTCAGTCGTTTCCTCCGTTGCTGGCAGGAGGATGTGAGAGCTGGCTACGGGTGAGGAGCAACAGGGTGACCCTCTTGTTTGTCATAGCTGGGAAAAGCAGCCCAGATTGTTGCTCCCTTATGAAGCGTGGTTTTACCCAGGCAAACCAGTGCTGGTGGCAGTCCTGAAACACTCCTGAGCAGAACAATTTCTGCAGATGTTCACAAAAAGCAAATAGAAGAAGAAAATGAGAAGATCAAGCTCAACTTCGACTTCTCATTCAAGTAATTTTTCAAGCTCCAAGGATGTGAGTATGAACAGCACTTGAACATGATCTG